AAGTCTGATTTACCTAGACATCCAACATTATCTTCTTGATTAAGACTTGTTGTAATAGAATTCTCCCCCTTAATATGATTCTCAATTGTTATCCAATTAAGTATCACTTCTTCCTTCTCACTCTCCCCCTGAAGAGGTGTTGGGTTTGAGTTGAAGTAAGATTCATTCTCCCTAAAGATAACATCCATAATTATAAAGTATTTTCTAAATGGTGGATGATAACACTTGTAACCTTTTTGAGTAAAAAATATTTAACAAATACACACTTAAGAGCTCTAGGTTCTAACTTACCCACATTTCTAATATGAACAAAGCACACACATCCAAACAATTTTGGGGGAACAATAAAGAAATTTTTTTCTTGCAAAAACCTCGATAAGAATTTTAAAATTCAGACCCCACAAAGTATTCTATTGATAAGATTAGCAGCTGAGAGAACTACATCTCCTCAGTAACTATTTGGTAGATTCATGGTGAACATTAGTGACCTACCTACCTCTACTATGTGTCTATTTTTTCTTTCAGCAACTCAATTTTGTTCACTGTTGTAGGCACAACTTGATAATGAATTATTCCATTTGACTCCAAGTAGGCACAGAACCCACTATCCATATATTCTGTACCATTACCAGTTTGCAGAATCTTAACTTTAGCATCAAACTGTGTACATATCATTTTGTTAAAAGATTGAAAACATGAAAATATATCACCTTTTGCTTTTAACAGATAAATCTATATTAATCTAATACATATAGTCAACAAAAGTAACAAACTATTAATGACCAGAAATAGAGATATTTTGAGTAGATCCTCACACATCATAGTGAATAGTCATAAAAGGATCAGTACTTCTATAATTACTTAAATGATAAGAGCTCCTATTATGTTTAGCAAGTTCGCATTTATCACAAAACAAAGACTCTATATAAGTTTTTTTTAAGTAACTTAGAATATAATTTTTTTAAAATAAAAAATGAAAGATTTCCCAATCGTAGATGGCATTGTAGTATCTCCATATTGACTTCTTTATTCTAAAAGGTTGCTTGATTTCCAATTAAATCCAGATGTCTATTCAAAACATATAAACCATCTTGCAGTCTAACAGTACCAATCCTCTTTCCGGTTTGAAGATCTTGAAAGATGCAATGATTAAGAAAAATATTCAATTCTACAGTTGAGATATCTACTTATGGCACTAATAGATAAAAAATTGTCAGAAAAACTATACACATGTAAGACTGAAGATAATGTAATAGTAGAACTACAATTAATGGAATCTTTTCCTGACACGGGAGTGTATGACTCATCTACTATACAGACATTATACCCTTCAGTACAAGAAGAATAGGTTAAGAATTCTTTACAAGAGCTTGTCATGTGTCTGTTACCTCCAGAGTCCATGATACAATTATCAGGAGTGGAAATAGGATGAACAATACATGATTTTACCATATTTAATGTACCAACAGTTGATAAAGAGTTAAGTTGACTCAGAATGCGCTTCAGATTTTGAATTTCTTCTATGAAAAAGGCTCCAACGGATAGGGAACCAGGTTTTTCCCTAACTTCAATAAAATTTACTTGAGCTCTTGTGGTTCCACCTCTTCTTCCTCCCCGACCTCTAATTGGTCTTACATGCAATTTCCAACAAGTTTTCCTAGTGTGTCTTGGCTTGCCACAATACTCACACTTTTATACATCTTTGTATTGATCAGACTGAGCAATTAATCCAGCCTTCTCAACTGGTGCAATGTGAAACATGGCATTTCTTCTACTCTTTTTTTACTAAACATAAGCAAAAGTTTATTCTAATGAATGAAAAGGATCCTTACCAAGTACTTGGACCCGTATTTAATCATATTCGGTGTTCAGACAACCTAAAAAATTATAAATTCGCTCTTTTTTTATCAATTTCTGAAATTTGATTGTATCTGCAGAACACTCTGCTTGAAAATCTTGATAGTAATCTAAGTCCTACCATAATCCATTTAGTTCATAAAAATATTTAGAAACAGTCATCTCTCCTTACTTTGTACTATGAACATTATTCCGGAATTCATAAATATGGGTGCCATTACCCATATGTGAATATGTAAAAAAAGCTGCATTTTATATTTTTTCGACAGTATTAAGCAACAGATATATTCTACCAATATGGGTTGTATAGAATTTATGAGTCATGATATTACTAATGAACTCTCAGAGTCCCATCTATAATATTCTAAACTATCAACATCTGCTTTCTTCACCTCACCAGTAATGTAACCCTACAATCCTCTAGATTTGATGAACAATAAACAAAATTTCGACCAAGCAAGATAATTAGTTCCATCAAATTTTATGGGATTGATTTGTAATGAAGGATTATCAAATTTACTAACACTCACCGTTTTTACTTTTGTCATCTTAGAATGCTAAAAATACGAAGAAAAAAAAATCTAGTAATGAAAAACGGACCTCTTATCTGCACCAAGAAGCCAAAAAATCGGAAAAAAATTACAAAAAAACTGAAATCAGATCTGGTTCGGCTCTAAACTGCTCGAGTTTAGCTCTAAAACGACTCAGACTCAGCTCTATAACGACTCAAAGTCAGCTTGGCTCGTCTTCTCCGGACAGATCTTTGAACGTGCGCAGAAAAAGGTAATGGTGTGGCCTTTTTTTACCGGTATCATTGATGTGAGGCTGTAATTTTTTACCAGTGCCAGTGGATGTGTGGCTTTAACTTTTTACCAGCGCCTCCGGATGTGCAGCTGTACCTTTTTACTGAAAATTAGGATATACGGCACTTTTTACCGGCATGTGAGGATGTGCGGCTGCAGTTTTTACCATCGCCTCCAGTGTGTTGTTATACCTTTTTAGTGTCTATGAATGTGCAGTTGTAGCTTTTTACCAACGCTTCTAAAGTGCAATTGCACTTTCTACCAGCACTTCTAAAGTTCGTCTGCACTTTTTATCAACGCTTACAAAGTGCGTATGCACATTTTACAAGCGCTTACAAAATGCGGGTTCAAATCTGTTTTGGGTGGTGATGAATGTATATCTGAATAAAAAGGTATCAACGAAGCATACGGTGTTATTTTAGGGTTTGAAAAGAATTCTAAACTTATATCCCTAAAATAATTTTATTTCGCTCTGATACCATGAAGTTTTTTGGAGAAAATAAACTTTTAATTTTTATTACTTATATTTTGTTTACATTTAGAAAATAGATATAAACTGGTTATCCTTATTTTATTTGAACTCTAGTAATAAGATATAATTATATTATTAGAACTCTAACTAATATAGTATTCTATTCAGCATGAAATCTTTATCAACAGTTGTATTACCTAAAAAGAAGACTTGAAAAAGGGATATTGTTCAAAAAGAATGACATATTGCTCTTAAAAGCCTATACATATGCAGACTACGGATAGTAGGTAGTCAATAGAAGACCTACCACAATATATTGCACCCTATTTGGGGGTAACCTAGTTTCTTGAAAAAGTAATAAGTAAAATAGAGTTGCAAAATCGACTGCATAACAAAAATTCAAAGCAATGACTCAAGAGGTATGTGAATTACAGTAATCAAATAGAATTTTAAAAGATCTGAAAATCAAGCGGAATAATTTCATACACTTATATTGTAACAATAAATCAATCACAAGTATTGCCTATAACTCGTTGCAACATAATAGAATATAGACACTTCATCAAAAAGAACCAAATTGAGGCTGAAAGGCACTTCATCAAAAAGAAACTAGACAATGGTCTAATATGTATTCATACATGCCAATCAGTTCACAATTGATCTTGTTATGACCAAATGCCTTATTAATTTGGAATTCTATACTATGAATGGTAAGTTAGGGATAGACAACATCTATTCTCCAACTTGAGATGGAGTACTAAAGAGTGTGTATTATATGTAATTAAGTTAAAAGGCATTAAGATAAACTACACCCTACATAATTAATCTCTGTTTATTTTTCTATTCATGAAAACTTGTATATATAGTTTTGATATTCAATAAAATATATATGAAACCATTCTTGACAGTAAGCGCTTCTCCAGACTTGTCACTTTAGCAATTTTTTACGTAATT